TATGACTAGAAGTATAGTCATTTCTGCTCTGCCTCTATGGCCAGTTCATAAACCAGATATTCCAAAGGTTGTTTAATTTTGCCATTGATATCTAAGCCAACATGTACTTTTATAGGATACGCACCAAAAAAATAGATCAACATACACAAGATACCTATTAACTTACATAGCTTTTGACAGTGTTTACTGAGATATTTCAGGGGTCCAATTCTGGCATCCTACAAAGGACAAATCCTAGTAGAAAGTGGTTAGCCTAGATTAATTTTATCCATTGTAAAGGAGCTTCCACATTGAATTTTATCATAAGGATACTTTGTATACACCATTACCTTTCCCTACCCTAGTGTACATGGACTCCAGAAAATATCAACCACAAAAAAGAAAACTGGAAAGTGTGAAGGAGAAATCAGAAACAACCTGGTAAGACTTAGAAGGTCAAATGGTTTATTTCTTGGTGAGACACATCAGAACCATTTCTGTTCTAAACATCAAGGGGTACCTGCTGTTGAACATACAAAGTGCCAAGGGTATTTTAAAACCAAGTATTTTTAAAGTCAAGTGATAAAAATCCTGACAGATGGGATTAGCATGAGAATCAATAATTTAATGTTGGTCTCAAAGCATTGTTAGTATTCATACTACTTAGTACTCATTGAAATTTCACAAAATGCTAGGTATCATACAAATGTGGATGAAAGGGGCCACATGCTAACCTGACAAGCTCAGGAAAGGCCTGTATGGCAGTCTTGCAAACTCAGAGACCTAAAGTAACCACAAAGGATGGTCTGAAATTAAGCTTTAAATAAAAGTAGTTATGGTGGGTAGTTATGGCCGGTATCTTCAATGACAAGGTCAAACTTTACCTTAACTGAGCCTATCTGTCTTTTTGTATCTATAATCACATATCCTTGAAATATCTGGGTAACTTGTAACTTCCCTTTTTCTGGACCCCTTGGGGGCACAACCTAATGTGCCTGAGCGCAAGGACAGATACCACAAATTCCTTCATTGTTATCATGTTAATTGTTCCTGCACCCATCTAAGTATGTGTCTATAAATTTACCTTTTATCCAATTTCGGAGGTTTTCCTGCTTTGCTTTCTCCCACCTCTCTAGTCTATCATCAATGGATTTAAAGTAACCCACCTACGTCCTACCTTTGATTGCAATGTATAAAAATAGAGGAAAACCCGCCATTCTCAGGAACACTATCCCAATCTGTTGAGATATTGCTTTCTGGCAATTATCGACAGTTTGGCTCAAAAAACTCACAAAAATTCTTTACAGGTTAGAATGTTTTTTACGTTAACACAAAGTATAGGAGGGCACATTGCTGCTGCCCATTAGGTTTATAAGTTAAGTTAATCAAAATAACTACTACTTGGATTTCTAGTAAATATAATTACTGGCAAGTACTTCTGACTATGCCCATGCCCGTGTCATCTGAGAAGGTTGTTATCAAATCACCCCCATTCTGATGTTCAGATGCAAACCAATCATTCAATGTAGATTGTGAGCTATTACTTTTCTGTCTTCCTTAGTATAGGTTCCTAGAACATAAACACATAAGATATGCCTAGTTGGAATCAAATGTAAGAACATTTCAATCTCTTGTTAGATATTTGACAGCCTTTTAAAAACCCATAAAGCTAAAGGAGCCAGATTTTTTTAAAGTCTCAGGCAAGAAGATAAAGTTTGGTTCAATAGAATCAACAATAGAAGTAGATAGAATGTCCAATGCCCTGAAAGAAATTATCCCAAATGTATTTGGCCCTGTGGAGAAAACAAAGAAGACTAAATAAGTGATCAATAAAATGTAGTGATTTCTTAACAAAACACCAAATTCAAACCAAGATCCACTGGGTTCACCTTGCTCTGTGAACTTGGGTAAGTTACGTAACATCTCTTAGTCTCAGTTTCCTCAACTGAAAAATGAGAATAAGAAGTACTTTATGGTGTTTCCATTGGAGGTTGGAAAATGAAGTTCTTTTACTTATACAACCATGAGCAAAAATGTTTATCATTTTCAGTTGGAATGATTGCAATACCTGATATTTCCAGGATGTTGTAACTATTAAAATAAAGTATATAAAACACATAATACACCTCATATTAGGACGCTCTTCCCTCCACCCCCTGGTGGACACATTGTGTTATATAGAGATTTTGCAACTTAGAAATCCACACATGAAACCTATATGTTAATGTTGACCAATGTCACCCTAATAAAATTTAATTAAAAAACAAACAAAAAACCCCCACATAATACAGCATCTGCTACATAATATATATTTAATATATTGTAGTTAGAATTGTTATTACTGCTAGGATTACTTATGTATATTTTAACAAATAATCATTATAATGTATATGTAATATAGTAATTATGAACAGTAACATATATAATAACAATACACTGGCAGCAATGGGTTAAGATATGCCACGGAGTTAGGAGAACTACTTGATAGAAAAGCATTTAGAAGAGGTCAGTTGGGTGACAGGCCTAGTACCAGAGAGCCACGAAGTTCTGAAGAGATCAAAAAGATCTACTGACCACCCAGCTGGCATGGATCAGTGGTTGGGCATCAACCTATGAACCAGGAAGCCATGGTTCAATTCCCAGTCAGGGCACATGCCCAGGTTGTGGGCTTGATCTCCAGTGGGGGGCATGCAGGAGGCAGCCAATCAATGATTCTGTCTTACCATTGGTGTTTCTATCTCTTTCTCCCTCTCTCTTCATCTCTAAAATCAATAAAAATATATTTTAATTATATATATATATATATATATATATATATATATATATATATATATCCCTCCTGCCACACCAGCAGGACCCAAACTGACTCCCGCTGCACAGACTTCTGCCGTGCTGCAAGACCCATTAATGCATCTCCTGGTGATCGGTCGTTTGGTCATTCCAGTGTTATGGCTTTATGGCCACTGGCCTTTTATAATATAGATATATATACCGACCTAGGTGCAAAATAAATGAATCAAGAGAAAGCTGATAAAGCAGAAAAAAATTTCCAGGTACCATGAGTACTACCTACTAGACAAAATTCAGAACCTTCAAGGTCAAATTGTTACTAAAAGTTCCACTAAGCCTTCTTTGAGTTTCTTAAACAAATAACATCTATAATAATGACTAAACATCTAGGCAAGGTTTCCTGGGACCAAAGACAAGAGATATTTCTATGTGTCTCCTCGCCTACCCCTCTAAAGTTTAAACTATATAGGCCATGCCATCAGAATCTTCAATATAATGGGAAGGAGCTAAGGGCAAGGAACCCACACTGGGGATGGCTGATGGGTTGAAAGAGTAAAAAGGATGGTTTCAGTCATCTCTTATGTTTACCCACAAACAACCTTAGGCTAGAGCTCTGCATGGATTTGCTCTTACTCTGATCTTTTGCATGTAAAAGACTGCTGACAAATTGCTTGTTGACCAATAAACAAGTACTAGTATGAAGTCCCTGATGATGACCAAGATCTCTGGACAAAGTCAGAGACAAGGCCTGCTGTCTCTGTCCCTGACCTGGGGGAGGTGTGATCAAGACTGTCTGACAGTCTGAGACTCAGGTAGATTTTTATTAGTTGTGTAATTCAACCCTGGCATAGTTCTCACTAGCAATCTTACATTATTTAGATTTTATTTTGAAAAATGCCCCCAGGCCAGTTCTATTTAAAATGTTTTCTGCAACAAAGACCTAAAAATGTTACATTTCTTTCATTAGGTACAATTAGAGCTATGCCACTCTGAGAAGGCAACTGAAGAGTGTGAACGAATGGTGACTATAGTTTTTCCTGAGCTCCCTTCTTATCCTGAGGATGAGTTGTACATTTAGACTCAATATGAGCAAAGGGACTTTGTGGTGATATTGCATTGATACCTTAGATATTTTCAAGATACCTTAGTAATATTTCAAATACTTCCATATATCTTATTTTACTTAATTCTGTGAGCAATCCTGGAAAATGTGTAGGGTAAGTATTATCTACATTTTGCAGAGTGCAAGATAGACAAAGGAAGGATAAATAACTTAGATTAGCTCATATAGATGGTTAGTGTATGAGAGCCAAAGATTTGGCTGTTAGCCCCTGGCTAGTCTCAGATCTTGATGGGTTAACAGCCAAATTAACTCATAGGTATCCAAAACAACTTATAGAGGCTCATAGAAATAGATACAGTTTGTAAAGATAACATTTAAAGAATAATGTTAATATGTACAGCACAGAAGGATTTTTAGTAAGCTCTTATTGGTTTTAGAGAGAGGAAGGAAGAGGGAGAGAGAGAAACATCAATGTGAGAGAGAAACAGATTGACTGCCTCCTGCATGCACCTGCAGCAAACCCAGACCTGGGATCGAGCCCCCAACCTGAACATATGCCCTGACTGGGAATCGAACCGGTGATTTTCAGTGCAGTGGATGCTGCTCATCCAACTGAGCCACACCAGCCAGGGCCAGCACAGAAGAATTTGCTAATTTATAAATAAACTTCACTTTATTTTCCAAAAATTTAATGTTAGCTACTTTAGGTCATAAATTATACTTTTTTCCAGAAGTATTTCTGAGGGAAAATGTTGATGATTCTTGGGTTATAAGAGGGGAAAAGTAAGACCCAGGATTTAAGACATATATGAAAAATCCAGATGCCCCTTTCTAACTCCCATTTATAAAAAAAGGTTTATACTATAAAACCTAACATTTTATTTCAGAATTTGTGTGTATGTGAATTTGTTATATCACCAGAACTAATCTATTAAAAAGAAACTAAATTAATTAGGGACTTTTTCACATATAAAAGCAGACGCCAAGATAAAATGATTTAGGATATAGTTGAAATTTTTCTAAATGGTTGCTTTAGTTGTCTTATCCTTACTTCAAAACACTTTCCTTGCAAATTTCAGAACCATCTAGTGATGAGTAAACTAAAACCAATTTTGCTTTCTGACATTTTGTAAATGTGATTTGACTGTATTTCATAGCTATCAATTAATCAATCACCTTCCTTGGATGATATTGTCTTCCTCAAACCATAAGAACTATGAACTGATATTATAGAAAATTCAGGGAAGAGACACAAATGAATAATCTCAGACCCTAAGCCCAGCTGGTGTTGCTCAGTGGTTGAGCGTTGACCTATGAATCAGGAGGTCTTGGTTCGATTCCCAGTCAGGGCACATGCCCAGGTCTTGGGCTTGATCTCCAGTAGGGGGCATGCAGGAGACAGCCAATCAATGATACTTGCTCATCACTGATGTTTCTATCTTTCTCTCCCTTCTTCTCTGAAATCAATATATATATATATATCCCTTTGATAAACTCTATTACTTGAGAATCAATACAAAAAGAAAATTTCATTGAAAAATATATTTGATCTTGTTGGAAAGGAGACTTTTGGGTGAGTGCAGAAATAAGGACATATAACTAAATACATAGTGTTAATGTTTTTAAAGACTAAGAGGAGAAAAAAGAGAGATGACACAGTTACTAATATGAGTCTCATAGATTCAGAGAACAAACTGATGGTCGCCAGATAGAAGGGAGTTGGGAGCTGGGTGAAAATGTAAAGGGATTAAGAAGTACAAATTGACAATTACAAAAGTCACAGGGATGTATAGTACAGCATAGGGAATATAGTCAATATTGTAATAACTATGCATGTTGTCAGATAGGTACTAGACTTATAGGAGCCATCATTTTATAAATTATATAAATATCTAACCACAATGCTGTACACCAGAAACTAATATAATATTGTATGTCAACTGTAATTGAAAAAAATAAAAAGAAATAAAATAAATGAAAGAGGAAATATTACTATAGGTCACATAGATATCAAAAAAAGATAATAAAGCAATACTATGAACAATTCTATGACCACAAAAGGGATAAGCTAGATAACATATTCCTTAAAAGGCACAATCTGCCAAAACTCATGCAAGAAGAAACAGATAATATGGAATAGGCCTATAGCCATTAAAGAAATTGAATCAATAATTAATAACCTTCCAAAATAGAAAGCACCAGACCCAGATAGATTCACTGGTGGTTTTTATCAAGTATTTAAGGAAGAACGTATATCAATTCTCTGCAATCTCTTTCAGAAGACAGAAGCAGCAAGAATACTTCCTAACTCATTCTATGAGGCCAGCATTACCCTAATACCAAAACCTAAAACATTACAAAAATAACATAATTACATATCAATATCTCTCATTAACATAAATGCAAAATCCCCAGCAAAATAGTAACAAATCAAGTCTAGTAATGTATGAAAATAATTATATACCATAATCAAGTGGGATTTATCCCAAGTATGGAAGGCTGATTCAATATTAAAAAATCAATGAGTGCAATCCATCACATCAACAAGCTAAAAAAGAAAGCTCACAGGATATCAGTAGATATGGGAAAATCATTTGACAAATTCCAGCACTCACTCATAATAAAAACTCAGTAAACTAGGAATACAGAGGAAATGCCTCAACTTGATAAAGAATATCTACCAAAAGCCTACAGCTAACATCACACTTAGTGGTGAGAAATTAGAAAGAAGCTTCCCACTGGGATCAGGAAAAAGACAAGGCCATCCTCTCTCACCACTCCTTTTCAAGATCATACTGGAAGTATTAGCTAATGCAATAGATAAGAAAATGAAATAAAAATATACAGATTCAGAAGGAAGAAATAAAAGCATCTTTGACCACAAATGACATGACTGTCTATGTAGAAAACCTGAAAGAATTGACCAAAAATATCCTAGAACTAATAAGCAAATATAGCAAGTTTGTAGGACATCAAGTTAATACACAAAAGTCAATTTATTTGCATTATGCCAGCAATGAATAAGCTTTTAATTTGAAATTAAAAACAATACCATTTATATTAGAAACCTCAAAATAAAATACTTAGGTATAAACCTCAAAATAAAATACTTAGGTATATTTCTATCAAAATATGTACTATATATATATATATATATATATATATAGAGAGAGAGAGAGAGAGAGAGAGAAAGAGAGAACATTACCTGACTTCAAGACTTACTGTAAAACTACAGTATTTAAAACAATCTGGTATTAATGAGACACTTGACAATAGATGCATAGAACAGAATATTGATCCTGGAAATAGAACCACACAAATATAATCAACTGCTCTTTGACAAAGAAAAAAACACAGGACTATAGAGCAAATATGTTTTTTCAAGAAATTATGCTGAAACAGTTGGACCACATGCAGAAAATGAATCTAGACACAAATCTTACACCCATCACAAAAGGTATCTCAAAATGGATCACAGACCTAAATGTAAAATGTAAAACTATAAAACTCCTAGAAGACAATATAGGAGAAAACTTAAATGATCTTGGATATGGCAATTATTTTTTAAATTAAAACACTAAAGGCACAATGCATGAAAGAAATAATTGATAAGCTGGACTTCATTAAAAACTTCTGCTCTCTAAAAGACAATGTCAAGAGAACTAGAAGACAATCCACAGACTGGGAAAAAATATTTACAGAACACATCTGACAAAGGTTATCCAAAATATATGAAAAAAATATCTTAAAATTTAATAAGAAATTAAATAATCCAATTTAAAAATGGGCCAAAAACTTGATATATACTTCATCAAAGAAAATATACAGATTGAAAATAAGCATGTGAAAAGTTGTATGTTATATATCACCAGGGAAATGCAAATTAAAACAGCAATGAGATATTATTGCATACTTATTAGAATGCCCCAAATCCAGAACACTGACAACACCAAATGCTGGTGAGGATGTGGAGAAACAGGAATTCTTATTCATTACTGGTGGGAATTAAAAATGTTACAGCCACTTTGGAAGATAGTTTGGCAGTTTCTTATAAAACTAAACACTCTTACTATATGATCGAGTATTCATGTTGTTTGGTATCTATTCAAAGGAATGGAAAGATCATGTCCACACAAAAACCTGCTCATAGATGTTTAGAGCAGATATATTCACTATTGCCAAGTCTTGGAAGCAACCAAGATGTAATTCAGTAGGTAAATAAAGAAACTGTAGTACATCCAGACAATGGAATAGTATTAAATGCAAAAAATAAATGAGCTACAATGCCATGAAAATATGTGGAGAACCTTAAATACATCTAATAGGCAAAAGAAACCAATCTGAAAAAGCTATATATGATGTTCTGAAAAAGGCAAACCTATGGAGACAGCAAAGGATTAGCGGTTACCAATGGCTGGGGTGGGGGCAGGGATGAATAGGTAGAGCACAGAAGATTTTTAGAGCAATGAAAGTATTCTGTATCATAGTATAATGATGGATACATGTCACTATACATTTGTCCAAATAAAAAGAATGTACAATAAAAAAAGAAACTCTTAACAAAATGAACAAGGATCAAAGCTCTGACAAATTTTCTAATATCTACATTAATAAAATAGTAACATGCAAAATGGTGTCACTCCACTATGCCCACCAGCCAATCAGAGCAACTATGCAAATTAACCCAACAAAGATGGCAGTAAATTTGCATACACAGGCGCTGAGTGAAGACAGAACACTACTGCAGATAGTGGCGGCCACGAAGCTGGAGCTAGCAGGAGGCTTGGGTTGCTCATGGAGATGGAGGAAGCCAAGCTTCCCGCCAGCCCTGGACTCTGGACTCCGCTCATGGAGTGGCTCGAGGCCTGGGTCACCAGGAGCAAACCAGGCTTCCAGCCCGCCCTGGGCTCCACTCAAGGAGGGGCTGGGGGCCTGGGCTCCGCTCAAGGAGTGGCTGGCTTCCAGCCAGCCTTGGCCTCCGCTTGAGGAGCTGGGGGGAATAAAAGGAGGGGCTGGGAGCAGCCAGAGCAGAGAAGCCTACCCTCACTGCCACGGCTGGACCTAAGGCCTGGGTCCCGGGTGCCGGAGGAAAACCAGTGCTGGCAGCCAGGGGAAGGAAGGCCTATTGCGCGAATCTTCGTGCATGGGCGTCTAGTAATTTTATAAAGAGCCACAACCTTTTAGATGCACTCAAATGACATCTATTGAGCATCTGCTATGTGCCATACTGTATATTGTAAAAAATATGTAAACTTAATTCAATCATTAAAATATCTGTGCTACAATAATAAATTAGGAGAACACAGGATCTTTTGAAAAACACACTTTTGAACTTTTTAGTCTTTAAGTAATCATATTTAGAGTTATGAAGAGTTCAGGTTTTTCTTTCATTTTCTTTGTTTTATCAAAGAATGCCATCTTTCATGAATAATATCTCTAATCTATAAGAATGCCAATATTAAAGATTTTTAGTTTATGTACTTTTTCCCATTAGACAGAAACCAAGGTAGTAAACAAATAAAAGTTTATTGGAGGCATGAGCAAAGAACAATTAACTGCTTTTCTCTCCTGTTGACATGAATATGTAACCTTTGGCATAACATTGATAATCTCCAATCCAGGATTATTCCAACACAATTTCTTTCTGGTTCATGATGCAGTTGGATAAAAGGTCAATCCAGTGACTTCAACTGAACTGGACATGAGTAGCTCACTGCTTTAGAATGTGGCTTTTGGAGTCAGAGAGGCTTGGGTTCAGATCCAGGCTCTATTATGTGCTAACTATAAATCTTTGGAGAGGTCACTGAGGTATGTGGTTTTTTTCACCTATAATGTAAGCATAATAAAAAGAGTTATCCTTGTTGGGTTGTTGTATTACATGTGTTAAGAACCTTGAGGGTCTGAGATTTTACCATACTGCAAGCTAACACATTAGCCTGCAAGTTTCATGAGTGTTGTTAGAAGACAAGAAACTCCTGGGTCACAGAATGGACAGTTAATTATTCACAGCAATGGAAGTAGCCAGAGTATCAGCATTTGTGGTGCCTTCCCAAATCAAAC